TACGAAAACATTGGTGAATGCCACAAATTCTCCTAAATCACTCGTACGCACAATTTAAGAACAAATCTGTGCGTACGAACAGTTCTTGCATGAGGCCCAATGAATCAAACAGGCAACCTATCGGTTACAGGATGACACCCCTAACCACTCCGCCCACTGAGGCCGGAGGCATACTGTTCCCTGGCTGTCTGTGTGCTGGTGCGGTGTCTGTCCGTTACGGCTGGTCTTATGTGCATGATATCTCCTGAATGAAATTATATGTTTGCTTATAAATAGGCATAATAACTCCATTAGGGTAGTACTCAGTCTGTTTATATTTGGGCATCAAAGGTCAAGGTCATTTATGATGATTGGTAAAATAAAACGCTTTTTTTTTCAAAGGCAGACATGTCTAGGGCAGGCGGAGGCATACGCATGAAGTTCCACCTTATTTGTTTTAAAATCTTTAATGTCAATACTCAGTTTTTCTCTTGTCTTTACTAGTTTTAGTGAAGTAAATTATTTTTATATGAAATTCTATAAATTTACTTTAATTCACTTTATTTATTTAGTGTCAATAGTCACTTCAAAGTATACAAAACAAAAAAGATCCTGTCAGGTTTGGAGGAGAGATGGACCCAAGAATGCAACCCAACACAAGGAATAAAAAAAGAAAAACTAAGAGTTAATTAGAAAACAAAAGCTGATGTGGCAGCAAAACCATACAGAGACGGTTAAAGACAGCTATGTCTTTAACAGCAAATTTGACCTTAACTGTTAAAAAGTTAAAAATAAAAGATAAGGTAAAGGTTTTTGTTAAATAACTTATTAGAGATGTTTGCATCGGGATCACAAGTCTCTTCCACACTTATTTTGTTGATTAGAATCTAAAAAATATTGGCCCCCTCTTCTTGATAGTGTGGATTTTTTTTGTTGTCCAACTTTGTCCACGTTACACCTTCCTCGGCTTTCTTCATGCCTACCTTTTCATTTTTAGATTTCAATCAGCTGGAGTACACTTTTGAAAGAAGACGGGTAGATTTAGACTATGTAGAAGAGGCACTGGAGTCTGGAGAAGTTTGTAACTGAATAGAAAACTTAAATAGAAAACAGTGTAGGAACCCTGAGTAAGGATGAACCAACAAGTCACAGGTGGTGCATTTGTAGAGGCGGAGGCTTGAAATGCAGAACATTGTTTCCTTTCTTCAGCTCAGTTTTTATGGTCCAAACTCCTGGTCCTATCAGTTTTCCATTCTGACATCTAAATGGATATTTTTGAACATTTCCCTTTAGGAACGTTTCCATTTAGTTTACCTGCTCAGGACTTTGGATCCAAGTGATAAAACCATGACCATCCCTGTTTTTCAGTTGTATGTGTCTATGTATGGTTTTTTTTTTTTTTTGTTTAATAATAATGCATTTCTTTCAGCTAAATAAAACTGTGCCAAGAAAAGGGAATCATGATTTTTGACTTAGGTTTTTTTGATCACAGGTATTGTATTAAACACATTTGAGATTTCATGAGAAATCATGTGAATGCTAAGTTTAGCTGTTGTTCCGGGTGTTTTTCATCAAGCTGTTTCAATCTCATTTATAATTCTTGACAATTTCAGAGAAATTGAAAATAATGCCTTAAAAAGTATTTTTTAAAATTTGCCTAATGTTTATTTCTACCTGCTTGTGTCCCATTTACCATTTTCCTCTGCAGCAGAAGCTCCACATGAGAGAGCAGCTCTTCTAGCCCACAGGACTGCAGTTTCCTTCCCTGTGAGGTTCTCAGAACCTGAAGGATTTCTTCTGGGTGGAACTAAAGATTCTATCACTGCTGCACCTGTAGGTGAGGCTGCTCCTCAAGTCGTAGAAGCTTTCGAAGCTTTGGCTGAGGTAGAGTGTGAAAGCTTGGCACCAGAAGAGGAGCTGGGCTCGGCTGGGGCCACAGAAAATGCCACCATAGCATCCTCTGAACCACAAGATAAAGCAGCTGAGTCATCTTCTTCATCCTCCTCATCCAGCGACTCTGATTCAGACTTTGACTCAGATTCTGAAGATGAGTTGAATGGGGAGGCAAAAATCAGGAATGTTTCACCGATGTGTGCAGATGCTACTCCTGGAGAGACCATAGGCACTGATGAGGCAGCAGGAGGACTTCAGCGCCCAGGGAGAGGACCTAGAGGCAGATCTGAAGAGTCAGAGAAGTTAAGCCCTGAGACTGGTTCAAGAACTCCTGAAGATGTGATGGAAGATGCTGCTGCCTCTCTTATCACTGAAGCACACTATAAAACTCCATGGCTACAAGTGGCGCAAGCTGAGGCTCCTGTAGAGGTCTCTGCAGAACCTGCTGAGCTCTCTAAAGAATCCCAGAGGGTAGCTGCTCCAAGACCTGTCAAATCAAAGAGCTTACCCACTGAAGCAGCTGCTGAGGCTAAAACTTTGAGCACTGCAGAAGATCTGAAGGACCCTTTTCTGGTCTCAGCTGAAGTTACAGAAGAAGATGTGTCATTGGAGACTGCTGCTGAACAGCTTGAGGGTACACACACCACCATCACCACCACCCTACTTCTCCTTAACACTGTCTTGATCTAGCAGATTCCTGTGATTTTTCTAAATCACATCTGTAAAGGGTTCAGGTGTGGAGGAGGCACTCGCTCCATCACACTGCTTTAACAAACCTCAGTTTTACTCTTTTGTTCCTTCACTGTAAAAAGCTAACCTCCCATAATCTTTTCCCTTTAGTTTGTTAGCTTTGCATGAATTGGATGTGTTTGGATACACTTTCAAGGTGTTTTTTCTTTTATAAAGCATTTTATAACAATCATTGTCTCTGCTTTCAGTGTTGGCTGAAGTTTGCCCTTTTGCTCACTAGAATTGTTTCCATCTTCCAGAACGTTTCAGTCACTTTTTTTTCTTCTGAACAACTTAATGTCTAAAGTATTCCCCTGACTTGTAGTTTTTGTTGTTTAGATGTTTTTTTTCCTGTGCTGTGTTTTTGCACACAGTTCTTCTATATTGAAGTGATGTGGATAGATTTAAGGTGTCTCTGACAGCAGCTGGATCATCAGAAACTAGGAGTTGTCGGACTTTGTGGAAGATTGTAAAGAAGCAGAGTTATTGTTTATAAAAAACTTGTTATTTTTTGTTTAACAATTATCTTCCAGTTTCTGTCCAGCACATATCTAAGCAYCTGGGGAAGAACAATTTTCTCTCTCTCAATCCTGTAAATATGTTCGTACTTGGGTGTCAATAATGCTTTCCTCTTTCACTGTGCATTTTCTTTTTCTTCCATTGTTTCTTGACAAATAGTTAATTGGTTATGTGATTTTTGGCTTGTTCTTTTAAAGCTTATTTAAAAAAAATCTTTCCAGCAGAAATAACCTTTACTTTCAAAGGTGTTTTGGGCCTGTTCGGACCCTGTACTTTAATCCATCCTTAATGATTGTTGATATAACTAAATATAGGTRTGAGGGCTCTCCATTGAAGAAATTTTCATTTAAACAACTTTCAGAAGTTGTGTAGACCGTATAGACCCTATTCATCKGCATACATTTGATATTCTGAACTTTGATGTAGGTCCTTCTCTTGAACTGACATAAATCCGCACAGTTCCAGGTCACAATTATGACCTGGATGCCTCATGAGAAAATAAGAAAAAACAGTTTGCTTTAACTGATGGCTGATTTAAAGTAAATCAAACAGCCATAACGGAATAGTTTGAAGAATGTCTTTTTTATTAGTTGACCAAGTTTTGTTTTTAGACTCACTGTGATCCCTGTGAGGTCCCACGTGGCTTGGGAATGTTGTTTTATGGAAAAGCATGTATTTTTATTTTTATTGCCTTGCATTCGCATAGAAACTGCATTTTAGAAGTCCTGAAAATGTATTGTTTAAAAGTGGGGTTCAGAGTGAAAAAAGTTTTAAACCCTTGTGTTTTTGTGTAGATTCACCAAAACACAACGTTTTGAAGACTAAAATGTCATAGACCCACTACTAATCTAATACTCAAGGGTGACAGATGTAACAATAAAATTATGTCCTCATGCATCTCAGTAATCCAGGTAGAAAAATCCAAAAAATATATATATAAGTAGAACCTCTGGACAGGTTCTTTAATGAAACTTTTCATCTCTCCTCCAAGTGACTTCTTCAGTTTCATCAGAATCACTAAYAAAGAAAGAGACCTTATGTTGAGTTTGACTAACCTTGTTTTAATTACATTAGATACATAGTTATTGCATGAAGAATTGTAAGGTTTTCCTCATGTGGTATGTTTTTTTGTTTTGTTTTGCAGAGCCTACAGCTGCAGTAGTAGAACCTACAGAGCCTGAGGAGCCTTTTGATAACAGCACCTATAAAAACTGCCAGCACCACAGCTACACACCCTATACRTTTGTAGACCTGGATGTAGAAATGGCCAAGTATCGCCTCCCTCAACCCTCTTCTGGCARACCCTCACCTCGGCACTAGAAGAGCGGAACCAGTTAAAAATTATTCTTTGTAAATGTTAGTTTAGAAATTAGTGATTCAAATATATTTGTGTGTATGTTGTATAATATATATATA